ATGTTTTTCTTTAAAATTGTCTCCTTTCACCTCCTTTCCTGCTATATGATTTGTCTGCTTTCGTCTCCACAATTTCTGTCTCCACCCCCTCGCCTCCTTTGCCCCCTCCTCTGTGCTCCTGACTCTTTCTGCTGCCTTTCTACTGCTACTCCTTGGTTCTTTCTCACTGCTGTCTTTCAGTCACACCTGATCTTATGGTAGGAAATATCTACGTCTAACCTTCTCGGACAAGGGCGAAATATCTCGGAGGTCCCGTGGACAAGTAAAGCACGTATAGGCCTAAGGATCCCTTGGTAGTCCAAAATTGATAAGAGTAGCCTTCGGCCACCACAAGGGCAAAATTCAAAGTTTTCTACCAATTGAAAATGTTTAGTGTGTGTATGCAGTTGCGAGCGACGTAAGACACTTACAACTACAAAAAATACCCTGGTGTCCAATACTTCGGAGTATCAAAACAGTGAAACAGTTTAGCCGCTCGAATTAGATCCCAGTGTTTTTCTGCGCCAGCTAGCCCACTTGATTTGTGTTACTCATTTAATTCTTACACTGTGATGAACCTTTGTAAAGTGATAACGAATAGCTGTCTAGCTATGATTTAGTCTTTTCGAAGTCGTATCCCATCTTTTTTATTGTCTATTACACTTTTTTTTAAATGATGAGCCCTTATATATACTGGAGTGTTAAAATAACCTGCCGCCGTATGTGAGGCGAAAATTAATAAATTTATGGAGCATCTGCTGCTCTATTTAAATCATAGACATAAATCACTTTTAAAATAGTTGTTACTGTGGCCCTGTCTTCATCATAGTTTGTCACGGTCAACAAAACTTGCAGCTTACACTTCTCAAACAGTTATTCGCAAAGTTTGTCGGCTGCGAAAAGTATCAGGCTTCAACAATTGAAGATCGACATAATCTTGGAGTATATTGTAATGAGCGATTTGTGAGGAACACGTTCTACGAAACTTTATATTTAGTTCTCAGAGAGCTCTTTAAATCAAAGAGTTCAGAAAGTTTGCTCGCACAACCCCAACGACTAAGTATACTATCTAGCCTAGATTCAAAATTAAAGGGGAGTAAACCGTAATACGTTTGTGTAAAGCAAAACTTAACTGGTGGTTGGTGGTTGGCCGATTTAGAGCATATCGTTTGCGAAGATACCACTGCTTTTTTTTTTTCTTGTTTCTAATATTATTTAATTAATTGACTGTGAAACACACAATAAAATGTGGTTTTGTATGTATGCTTCTAACTGTAGTAAAATTAATTACTCTACAAAATTTTAACAAATCTAATTCCAGACAACTTGGCTTATTGGGTTGGCGCCAGTATTGTGACGGCGGGCGGGATGGGTAGGGGAGGGGGGAGGTGAGTAAAACTGATGTAGGGTTAGTACCGATGTCAAAGAGCAAAAAGACTTGCGTCGAGAGGGAATTTCTTGTGGTATTCCAACTGTCTTCCGCCATAAGTAAACATGATGTTGGCCCACATTCCTGCATAGTAGATTAAAAAGGCTCACCTGATCCTACTCTTTCTTGAAACATTGAAATAATAGTTAATTTGATTTGCACTTTTGATAAGGCATACCATGAACTTTCTTAACAACATTTAAAGGAGGCAATCATATTCATAGTAAGGATAATAATGCACTTTAATTTATTATACTGTTTCTTCAGCAAACATATTATTATACAATATGTACGGGCAAATGTTCTTTCGCTATGGCCGGATACCAATGCAGTCTATGTATCTAGCCAGCACTGCGATTAATAATAAAAATGATAATAATAATAATAATAATAATAATAATAATAATAATAATGATAATAATAATAATAATATTATAATAATATGATAATAATAAAAAGAATTAGAGTAATGTTAATAATAAAAATAATGAGAATGAGAATGATGATGACGATGATGTATGATAATAATAATTATATAATAATATAATAATAATAATGACACTAATGATTTTAAAAATAAAAATAATTTTTAAAGTTTTGTTTTTGTAGAGGTTTTACGGCGCTCACAACTACATAAGGTCATATATGAGCGCCAAGGGGAGGATGTCAACAGAAAAGTCCTTAAAATTACTGGGAATCGGGCTTACTAACTGCTCATCTCTTAAGCTTCAAAAGCACAAAGTTTGCTTTGAATATCATGGCACCCTCGAAATAGTGGATCACAAGAGTGTAACAAACATATAAAAGAAGTTGAAGAAAATGACGATGGATTAGGAAAGAGAAAACATCAGTTCGCTGTTGCAGTTCAGGCACAGTTATGAGGCATGACCTTGATGAATCAACCCATTAACAATTTGCACCTATTATATATTAATCCCCCCTTTGGGAATGGCCTAAAGACACTTTAATCAGCAGCACCACCCAGGGGATATAGTAATTTTTTTAAAGTTAATAGATAATAATAATACTAATTATCATTATTATTATTTATTAACTTTTTAAAAATTACTCATGAAACTACCCAAGAAAGGAGACCTGCATGAGTGTAAAAACTACAGAGGAATCATGTTCCTTTCCATTCCAGGGAAGATTTTAAGGCGTACCATACTGAAAAGATTGAAGGAAGCCGTGGATGCAAAACTAAGGGAGGAGTAGGCAGGATTTCGTAAAAAGAGATCATGTACAGATCAGATTGCAACTTTGAGGATAATAGTGGAGCAGTCCACAGAGTGGAACTCTTCCCTGTACGTTAACTTTGTTGACTACTAGAAAGCTTTTGACAGCCTAGATAGGGACTCAATATGAAAGCTCATGTGCCACTAATTCATGCGGAATACCTGACAAGTTCGTGAGATTGGTCAAGAAGTACGAGGGAATGAGTTACAGTGTCTTACTTGGAGGACAGCGGACAGACTCGTTTGAAGTGAATATAGGAGTGATACAATGATGCCTGCTATCGCCTGTTCTCTTTTTATTAGCAGAGGATTGGATAATGAGACAGACAACATCGGGACAACACGGTGGTATACAGTGGACCCTTTCCAGTCAGTTGGAAGACTTGGACTTATATAAAGAGTTGAACCATATATAGGCCTAGCCATAATAATAGTGTTTTTCCCATATATTCTGACAAACTCGTCACACATATCGATT